CAGGTTCGGACCATTAATAAGAAAAAGCCACTGCTTTGGCATCTCAATTTCAATTTTCAAAATAAAGACATTTTCAAGCTGTTAAAAGGGCTGCTAAGTGAAGCCTTGTACTCTGTAGGGAGTCTACAATACAATACTCTTTCGTCTGAGAAACCCCAGTTTTTCTGGCAATAAAAATATCATCTGGCTTCTTTCTCCAGTTTCTTTAATTTTACCGCATGCTAAGCAGTTAAAGCATATCCGACATGTTGATGCTATCTTGTTTTACTTCATTGTACATCAGCTTCAAGTCTCTCGTCACAGTCGGTGAGGAGGAAAACTAGCTTTTCAGAATACGTGAGTAGTAAGAGATTATCCCCCACTCACACATCAAATCTAAACCAAATCAACAGAAATTATCCATTAAAACTATATAAAAAGCTGTCTACCATAGTCTGGTGTCAAGCTGAAATTCAGTGGCTAATCAGAAGTATTAATTAGGTATAACTTTTATTGCCTTGCTCTCCAGACCTTGGGACCTAGATTAAACCTCTCCCATTTCATCCCAGGGAATCTGCAAACACCGCACACCGAGCGCAGGCTGCGGCAGGAACGGCAAAGGAGGGAGGATTAGTTGCAAGCCCCGTCCTTTGGCTTGTAATGGCTTGATTCTGTTATCATTAGAACAGAGATCAAAACATTCAGTCTTTTTTATGGCTGAGAAAACAGATCTAATTTTACAACAAATAACCTGGCATCAAACAGCTGAGAAAATGAGGTAGTTCACACTGCAGAACAAAACAATTTTGCCATGGCATAAAGGAGACTTTTTCTGTTAAATACCCAACAGGTTCAGATATCTGTAAGCTCAACCTCTTTTACAGAGCAAATCCAAATACAAGCGGTGCTTTATAACCAGTTCAGGCACATCCCCAAAAGCTATAAAGCATCTGGAGAGACTTGAAGTCAGCCTTACTATTTTACTCAGAACTAGAAATCTGAGATAACTATTTTTCTTTACCAGGGAAAAAAACCCGCCACTCTGTCTGAAAGATGCTTTCAAAACAAGAAAACATTTTAAAGGTATTTTATACCACCAAATTCCTCTTTCACAATACTGAAAGCAAATGGCACCATGGATACACTGCTCAGATTATTGCATGACTCAAATCATACTATTTCTATTTATTTTCCAATATTTAGGAAGAAAAGAGCTTGTCCTGACACAAACAATGTTGCAGACAACATCAAGTTGGGTGGGAGTGTTGATCTGCTTGAGCGCAGGAAGGTTCTGCAGAGGGATGCGGACAGACTGGACTGATGGGCCGAGGCCAATGGTGTGAGGTTCAAGAAGGCCAAGTGCCGGGTCCTGCTCTTGGGTCACAGCAACCCCATGCAGCGCTACAGGCGTGGGGCAGAGCGGCTGGAAAGATGCCCCGAGGAAAAGGACCTGGGGGTGTTGGTCGACAGCCGGTTAAACAGCAGTGTGCCCAGGCGGCCTAGAAGACCAACAGCATCCTGGCCCCTATCAGGAACAGCGTGGCCAGCAGGGCTACAGAAGTGATCGTCCTCCTGTACTCGGCACTGGTAAAGCCCACCTCGAGTGCTGTGTTCGGTTTTGGGCCCCTCACTACAAGAAGGACACTGAGGTGCTGCAGCGTGTCCAGAGAAGGGCAACGGAGCTGGTGAGGGGTCTGGAGCACATGTCTTATGAGGAGCAGCTGAGGGAACTGGGGGTGTTCAGCCTGGAGAAAAGGAGGGTCAAGGGAGACCTTAGACGCTCTCTACAGCTCCCTGAAAGCAGGTTGGAGTGAGGTGGGGGTCGATCTCTTCTCCCAGGTAACAAGTGACAGGACGAGAAGAAACAGCCTCAAGTTGCGCCAGGGGAGGTTTAGGATGGGTAGTAGGAAAGTTTCTTTGCTGAAAAGGTTCTCAAACACTGGCACAGGCTGGCCAGGGAAGTGGCGGAGTCACCATCCCTGGAGGTATTTAAAAGAGGGGTAGATGTGGTGCTGAGGGACATGGTTTAGTGGTGGTTTTGGTAGTGTTACATTTACGGTTCGACTTGATGACCTTAAGGTCTCTTCCAACCTAAATGATTCTATGAATACATTTAGTCACAAGTGGGTCTTCTTCGCTCTTGCCTCCTAGTGCCATACATATATTTCTTATTCTAAGAATTTATACAGAGGATTGATGAATATTGGTAAACACAAAGATGGACATCACGGCTGAAGCCTTCAAACGAGGCAAATGTATTTAATCTAATATGGTTACCTTTTTCTTCAGTTAACTTGCATTGAGAAAAGTCCATCTGAAGACAAAAAGTTTCCCCAAAAGCTAAATTTGGAGTGGAGCTCAGTTGAACATGCCAGGCAGAAACAACGCATGGTAAAGTGGTAAGAAGCAATGCTAATTCGTTAACAAGTGACAGATGAGAAACAGCTCGAAGTGCAACTTTACATACACTGCAAAAGAAGTTTGAGCAGTTTGTTTAGCTGGTAAAATGGAAAGTGAAAGATTGAAAAAAATCAAAGAATATGGTTAACCACTTACTACCAAGATTAATATTTAAGCTGCTATATTTAGAAAGGAAAAAAAATCCAATATAAAAAATGGAAGGTTGGTAAATCTGTATTTCTAGTAACATGTCTTGAGGAAAAAAGATTTTTGGAACAATGAAGGAGAAAGATCAAAGGTGGAGAGAAGGTTTTTTCAAAAAAAATCACCTAAATTAAGCAACATTCCTATGTAAACATCAGGAGACACCTTCTGCCCTGATGGTCTTACGTCATCCATAAACAAATATCCCACAGAAATTAAAACTGGGATTACAAAGAAAAAAGACATTTCATCAAGAGTTTCTCTCAGAACCTTCTCTAATACTAGAAATAACAGTAGAGAATCCTCGATTAAAATGGTAATTTTGTATAAAATATAAAAACAGACAGAATGAGTAAAAGAATATGAAAGGGAAACTTCAATAACTGTGAAGAGGTGGCGGCGGGTAGAAAGAAACAGTGGTAAGAAGATTTGTTATGGGAATAATTTTAAGAAATATAAGCTAATAAAGAGAAAGGAAGGAGTTACGGCAAAAGCGATCTTGAAGGTCAACTAGGTTGTGTTCACTGCTTCAAAGCACACCATTTCTGCAGTTGTCTTCGGAAAGTCACCGCACCTAGACTAGAATTCTAGAGCCAGGCACACCTCCCAGTAATTTCACACATTTACCAAATGTCAAATGATCTATGTAATATTAAATAATGTGCATATTCTATCAAATGTCATTGCACTTAAAAAAATTTCACTTCACACTCCATGACATTGAAATTTAATGAGTTGCAGCAAGGAGACCTTAGCCAGCCTTGTCTAGAAAGAGAAACCCAACAGAACACAAGCCAAGTACAAACGCACCAATGCTTATGTGCACCCCAAGAAGTGATGGGACCTAAGAATATGCAAATAAAAATTACTTAAGAATATAAAGTCAAAGCATGAAAGAGAGAAATGATTTGTTGGGTAACACAGACCACAGTGCCTTTAGGAAAGAAGCTTCTGGTAAAAAGCTGTCGTGGCTAATAGCTGGAAGAAGCAACTGGTAAAGCAGTGTAATTGACTGCAGATGCTGCTTTCACCATTGTACAGTTATAATTAGGTCTGTTAAGAGACAATATTCCATCTATGTCAATACTTGTCTACAGCATCTCTAAATGTTTTGACCTCAGGTTTTTGGTTTTTTTTTTTCAGCACCCACATAAGTTTTTGTATGCTTTTCCCCAATATTTCTGATCTATTTGTAAACTGTTCAGGTTAGGACCATGTATTACCATGAGTATATTAACTGATGAGCAGAAATGAGCCCAAATCTGAGGTTCGTCCCTTGGTCCTGCTCGTCTGTAATGAAAAATGGCCCTCAAAGATAATTAATTCACCACTGGGTAAGAGTTCAACAGTGATGAGTATATCTAGTTATTAAGTGGACAAAAATAAAATAATAGAAGAGCATAAAGATTTAACTACTTTATTTCCTTTGATCATAAAAAGACTAGGTGAGTCTGAAAGAAAGTGCAGTTCTACAGGAATAAAAAGGCAAGACTTAAAATTTTTGACCTGTTATATGTCCACCCTCTTGGATGACTACCCCGTGACGGCCACAGATATATTTCTGTGTCCACAAAGCAAGGACTATTTGACTACTTGCATAGAAATGTATTTTCAAGACTTACCAAATACAACTAATTAAAACCACTAACGAGCATCACTTTAGTCTTCAAAACCTTACTTCAACAATTTTTCATCTGAATTTTGGGTTATCCCCGATGCCAACAAAAGCCTTTTTACTTGCATCAAATTCAAGGTGAAAGCTACTATGGTACTCACCCATTTTATAAAAATGTACAGTTTATCAAAATAGGTTTTTCCCATACTTCAGTGGATCAAGCTCATGGTTGTGAGTTCTTTGAAACTGTTTTCAATTTACAGAGTAATCCCACAGTGCCAGGTACAACACCCATACGTATATTCGTGATTCATTTAACAAACGCAGCATAGTTCAAGAGTGCTGCAAAAAGTCCTGTGCAATCACTTATCAAATATGATACTTAAGAACACTAGTAATGTTAAAATTAAGAGGACATTAACAGCAGTGTTCTGGTCTTATTTTTTTTTGCCTCAGAAATGCTTTGATACAAAAGTTCTAATCAAAATTAAAGTATGGACCTACGCAAGTATAAGACATATGTCCGCTTACATTATAACTATGCAGACATTTATATGTATTTTTAAAACTGATTTGTACCGATAGATGTAGATAGATTTGTACCCAGATTTTTAAAACTGATTTGTACCGATAGATATTTCCCAGTGCTTTGAGGCAAAAAAAATTCTTAACAGCTGCTGAAAGATTTATTTACTAGTTCTTTTTAACATTTAAATCATTTCGAAAGTATTTTAAATTTACATTTAATGATAACAGCAGTGTAACACAACCATTGTTGCACCACAACTGAATTTAAATATACCTGCTTCTACAGAAAATGGTTTCTCCAGGAGAAAAACTGTCTGTTTCCAGTGCGTTTTGGTACACTGGGGACCAGTTGAAAACAAGACCTGCAATGGAAGAGTTCAAGAGTTTGATTAAGAACAACATTTTTGATATCGCACCACATCAATCAATTACTAAATCCACATGCACGTTAGTGTTTGCTACAGCAAAACAGACTCACTGTCAAACACCTTGAGGCAGAATAAAATACAAGAACACCCTCATCTCAAAAATGTTTTAAAAATGCGTAACCCCAAATACTCACCTTATTGTGACAGTTCTTCTCAAAAAATATATCAAAATAACCAGCAACTGCCTATAAAAACAAAAAAAAAGAAAATGCAAATATAATGAAGGAGTAATAGTGATACTCAAGAAAAAGTGTATCATTAACGCATACATTTATTGGGATTGCTACTCCTTTTTAAGCCTTTACTAAGAGGAACGAGCTTAGATTTATGCTTCAAGCACACTACAAATCCTAACTAAAAAAAAAAAAAGATGTCGTCACACAGAGACAAATTTTAGTTTGTCTTTCCAAAATAACCCACGCACCCTAACTGCAACTAGAATCACATATGAGAAAACAGCCTTTCAAATGTGCAAACCCACGAGCATTAAATTCAGTCCTTGTCCTCTATGGCTCCCACAACCCTCACTAAACACACACAGAGAGTGCGAGGGATTCTGCATGACATATTCACTCTTTGCGTATCTTAACACGATTTTCCACAAAAGCTCCTCAGGAACAGAGGCAGAGCATAACCTGGCAGGGAATATTTTCCTTCCTCTATTACATACACACACAGATAAGGAAAAAGATTCACAAATTCCTCATGCTGACCTTTTCAGCAGTTAATAGCTTCTACTAGTAACTCTCCATAAGATTCCCAGGAACACTTCTTCTGTCCCTCCTGCCATCCCACTCCTAACCTCAAAAAGAGCCTCTCCCTTCAGCGCATAATTCCTTAGGTGGGACTTTTCTTCCAGCTTGAAAAGGAAAAAAAATACAAGATGTCCACACACAAAACAGTATACCAACACTATTAGTTATACAACCATCTAATACTTACCTGCTTTTTTAACTAAAAAAAGCCTTGTGAGAGTCCCAGAAATTCAGAGAATTCAAAACTGTAAGATGCTAATAAAAGACCATCCCCTCCTGCTTCACCTCTGAAATCCTGTCCATGCTCACCTTTATTTGCTTTCTACTGTCTCCTAGGAAAAAGCTAAAGCAAATCAGACCATAGGCTGAAGGCAGTTATGCTTTTCTACTGTATGTCAGCCTGAAGAAATGGCCCAGAATAGAGCTTTTGAGGAACTCCAAGTACAGGAGCTGGGGGACTCTCTCCCCCTCTGACAGCAGGAAAGGATTCTCCCCACGTCAGCTACGGGACATTCCAACAAGAGACATACCAATTCAATGATGGCAATCCCCTTGCATGAAAACTCACTGCAAACAACTGATCATAACCTTCCCCTCACGGCACCAGTGTTTTTCTCCTACTCTAAGTCGGGAAACTGGTTGCTCAGAACAGCTACAAGGGACAAGTTCTGCAGCAAGCCCTTCATCTTGACTCAGCGATAGATTATGAAGGGGGGAAAAAAAAAAAAAGTCAAACACGCTGACAAAATTAAGGTAACAAACCAAGTAGCATAGGTCTTTATCATTATGAAATATGTAATCTAAATGATAGCTAAACCATTCTGGTATTTTTCCTCCCTAGTCTAAATCCAGAACAGATTTCACTAACGTGGTGGAGAATACGATGGGTTAAAGCAAGTACGCCTACGTTAAAGCACTTGTGTTAGGTTTTCAACTAAGGGCGCTCCAGAGAATCCTGGCAAGTTCCAAATTCCAATGTAGGCAAATATTCTTAAAAAAAAAATAAACCAAGGAGACACCGAGGGACCTTCGTGACAAATGAGCACCAGGTGTTGGAAACAGGGACTCTTCCATCTCTTTAGTAAACTCCTATCACTCAATGCTGAAAATCTCGTTTCCAAGTGAATTACAGCCTTGTCTCTAATATGCCTTTTTGAGTAAATATTGAGAGGGTTTTGCAAAGTTTTATTGACCCATCAGACTACTTTTATTGATGCACAATCTTTTCTGGACATTAGTCAGAGATCTACCAAGTCATAAAAATATTTTTCAATCATCAGGTCAATACTTTGATATGCTTACAAATAAGACCTAGGATATGATTACTGGAGAAAGGAACACAGGGTTGAGACAACAAAAATACATTAAGAATTGAGGGGAAAAAAATTGGCTTCTAGAGAAAACGAGACAATCAAGCTACATTTTGGACTAGAAAGCTAAAAACTCCAAGCAGACGTGCCATCGCTAAGGTGGATGCAATTATCTATAAATTTGGCAGCAAGAAGTAACAGAAACACCCTACGTGCTACCCTGAAAAAATGTTCACAGATTAGCATTTTTTGGGGGGGATCAAGTTGAGGCTGAAAGGAAACTGCAACTACAAGCAAAAAACCATCCCTGCTACTTGCTGACTCCTGTGCTCAGGGAAACAGGATTTGTACACCTTCTGTAAGTGACCAAAAAATGTTCACAGATTAGCATTTTTTTGGGGGGGATTAAGTTGAGGCTGAAAGGAAACTGCAATTACAAGCAAAAAACCATCCCCTGCTACTTGCTGCCTCCTGTGCTCAGGGAAACGGGATTTGTACACCTTCTGTAAGTGACTAGGCTAAATAACCACTTTATTCTTTACAGTATCGATGGTTTGCCTAACCGAAACAACCAGAAACACTGACTTCGACTATCTAAATTAAGAGGTAGTAATAGTAATTATTACACATCACAAAAAGCACCTTATGCAGAGCTCTAAGGATTACAGAGTTCCAGAGTACAAGGGATTAGAGAGAACAAGATCCATTAAATTCTTTTTGCTACATTCTAAAGCGGATACATGTCTTTCGATATTGATACTGAAAAAAAAACTGATGAGCCAACGGAGAAAAAACACAGGAAAATTATAACTGAAAAAAATCCTCAAGTCCCTAAGGATAAGGTCCTGTGAACAGCTTCAGGCATTCCCCTAAATTCCTCAAATTTGTCTGACAACTCTTGATTGAAAGCCTAGATCCCTTTCCAGACATTTTGCCTCCAGCCAGTCAGGCACTGGTGAGGCCCCACCTCGAGTGCTGTGTTCAGTTTTGGGCCCCACACTACAAGGAAGACATTGAGGTGCTGGAGTGTGTCCAGAGAAGGGCAACGGAGCTGGTGAGGGGTCTGGAGCACACGTCTGGTGAGGAGCGGCTGAGGGAACTGGGGGTGTTCAGCCTGGAGAAGAGGAGGCTGAGGGGAGACCTTCTCGCTCCTTAAAACGACCTGAAAGGAGGGTGTAGAGAGGTGGGGGTCGAACTCTTCTCCCAAGGAACAAGTGACAGGACGAGAAGAAACAGCCTCAAGTTGCACTAGGGGAGGTTTAGGATGGATAATAGGAAAAGTTTCTTCACTGAAAGGGTTCTCAAGCACTGGCACAGGCTGCCCAGGGAAGTGGTGGAATTGCCACCCCTGGAGATATTTAAAAGATGGGTAGATATGGTGATGAGAGACATGGTTTAGTGGTGGTTTTGGCAGTGTTACGTTTACGGTTGGACTTGATGATCTTAAAGATCTTTTCCAACTTAAATGATTCCATGATTGTATGTCACTGGCAAAGTACTGGAGGATTCAAAGCTGCCACACAGGTATAGTTATTTCTCCTCTCAGTGTTTCATGCAAAGCTTTTCATAAAACATTAGAATTTCTGCTTCTGCATGAAACAGTAGGAAGCCCTCCTTGAAGGACCTATGAAAAACTAAAATCGCTGACTGCATTACAGAAGGCTATTTCAATGCTCCCAAATGCAAGTGATAGAAGATCCTAAACCGAAACAACCCCCCTACCCCCACCCTTAAGGTACATTAGCGTAAGCCTTGCACCACTACAGAAACGATGCGGTGCCCCACATTAATGTCCTGAAGCAGAAAAAAAAAAAAAGTAGTCAGAAGTAAAGTACACGTAGATGATGCTTTCTACAATTTTATCTACAGTTACTAGCCCTGTATATTTAAAAAATAAAATCTCACAAATCTAAAAATAACAAATCAAATATATGCAAATCAAAATTGAAATACCCAATAATACAAAACTAGCTATAAAACTGTGGGTTTGGTTACTATCTTCTTTTTAGGAATTTATATCTTCCCTTACATCTTAACTTTTTTATTCATTACTTGGCAGTGGTTTTATGCTGAAATGCACAATACATATCTTTTGTATTTAAGTACATTTCTGTGAAATAATTCTGTAAAAATGAAGTTCAAAACATTTTCCTTTCATTTCACTTTTGAACATTACCACAAATTGCAGTAGCTGTAACAGTCAATCACAAACTTCTATTAAATATGCAGTACTACAAAGAAAGACATTTCCAATGTTTACAGCGTGAAGGAAGATTAAATCCTCCTTTCTTGTAAAATTTAACACACGCAGCAAAACACAAGGAAAAGTACCACTTACAAGTGGCATACTAAAAGCAATCTCAGCCACGAGCATCTTAAAATGGAATATAGAGCTGACCAGATTTTTATTAAAGGTGGCATCTTTTTTACAAGAAGACAAACCAAAGAAAAGGAACAAGCAAATAACATCCCCATAAATTCTAGATGATATTTTACAACTACTGCCTTGTTTTTTTCTTTTTTTTTTTTTTTTTAAAAAAGCATAATAACAGTTACTTCTTCCATTGCAGTTCTCCTCATCTTTTTGCTCCACCTTTGACAGCTCATTTACAACTTCACCAACAACTAATCAGCACGAACTTAAACCTTCTCTGGAAGAATCTTTCAACTGCCAGTCTCCTGCATACCATGAAAGAGGAAAACAAAAATAATGCCTTCTAAACCAGTAATAAATAACTGTAACTCTAGCCTGACACATGGTCTAGCCTCAAAGGATGTTAAATATTAGGAAACACTGTAGAAATATTATTCTTCCTCTTCCCAAATAAATTGCCAGGAGAAAAGCAGAGCTATGAGGACAAAAACTCCAACTCCAGAACAAAGTCTCCACATCTACCCAGGGAAGTAAGGAGGTTAAGTAGAGAACTAAGGAAATATTTAGGACTAGATGTATATTACTGAGACTGCAAAGCAGTATCCTGTAAGGGTCACGGAGTTCACTCAACAACTAAGAATAAAATATTCCCGAAATTACAACAGCAGCCACTGAATTCTACCTGAATTTGTCAAAACCAGGTTTTGATGAAGAGCTGACATAAAGTAGTTTAAGGTCTTCATCCA